TTGATTAGCTCTAGTAATTTTCTGGTAGAGTCTTTAGGGTTTTCTATGTAGAGGATCATGTCATCTGCAAACAGAGAGAGTTTCACTTCTTCTTTTCCTATCTGGATTCCTTTTACTTCTTTTTCTGCCCTGATTGCTGTGGCCAATCAGCGGATCTTTCTGACCCAGGGATCAAATCCCTCCCTGTCTCTTACATCTGCCTTGGAAAGTGGATTCTGTACCACTAGTGCCACCGAGGAAGTTTGTATTTTCTAATACAAACCTTTTAATGATATAAATTTTCATCTACAAACTGCTCTACCTGCATCCCATGAAATTTGATATATTGTGTTTTTAATTTCACTGAGTTCAAAATATTTAAAAATTTCATTTGCAATTTTTTTGACTCAGTTTTTTTTTAGAAGTGTGTTGTTTCCAAATATTTGTTTTTTTTTTTCAGATATCTTTGTTAGGAATTTCTAGTTGATTCCATTTTGTTTAAAAAATATATTTTGTGATTTTAATTTTTTAAAATTTGTTGAGGTTTATTTCATGGGCAGAATGTGGTAATATGTCTGTCTTGACAAATATATTTATATGTAATATTTAATGTGGACTGAACTGAACTGAACTTGAAAAGACTTTATTCTGTTGACGTTGTGTACAGTGTTTTAGAAATGTTAGAGTAGGTCTTTTGATATTGTTATTTGGGTCTTCTTGTTTCTTACAATTTTCTGGCTACTTGTCATCAATTACTGAATGAAGAGAAGAAATTTGAAATCTCCAACTATAATTGTGGATTCTTCTATTTTTCCTTTCAATTATATCAGATTTTGCTTCATATATTTTGATGAACTATTATTCTATAAGCTTAGTGTATGTATTTAAGATTATTTTGTATTTTTGATAAATTTTTGATAAATTCTCCCTTATCATTATATAATATCTCTCCCTATTCTTGGTAATATTCCTTGTTCTTAAATCTATTTTGTCTGATATTAATATGGCTACCCTAACTTCCTTTTGATTTGTGTGGTATAATTTTTTCCATTCTGTTTCAACATACATATATTTTTATATTTAAAGTGAGGTTCTCATGGACAGTATATAGGTCTTAGTTTTTAAAAATTTTAGTTTGACAATCTGTCTTTTAATTGGCGGTTTGGATCTTTTTTTAAAATTTGGGGACAACAAAGGATGAGATGGTTGGATGGCATCACTGACTCAATGGGCATGAATTTGAGTAAACTCCAGGAGTTGGTGAGGGATAGGGAGGCCTGGTGTGCTGCAGTCCATGGGGTTGCAAAGAATCGAACGTGACTGAGTGACTGATCTGAACTGAACTTGGATCTTTCACAGCTAATATAATCATAGATGTGACTGGATTTGAAACTACTGTCTTATACTTGCAACTTTTTTGCCATCTGATATTTTATCCTTTTTTCCCTCTTTTTATGCCTTATTTGGAATTAATTTAATATTTTATTATTGTTCCATTTTATTCTATTACTTGGTTATTGATTATACTTCTTTGAAATATTTTTAGTGGTTGATCTAGGGTTTTCATAAACTTCTCCTATTTGTTGGTGGAATGCCAATCATTATGTGTAGAAAAAGAGAAGAAAATGTAGTAAATAGAATTTATGCCTGAAAGTAGGCATGTCTCCTTTTCTCTTAGACAGTTAGTTGACTTGTGTTAGTTTGTGCCTCAAGTGGAGTCTACAGTGTAAGAGGGTTCTTCTCGGTCTCCTCCCTTCCTTTCTCTCCTTCCTTCCTCCCTTTCTTTCTTTTTCTTTTGTTACTTCTATAGCTTTACTGATATATAATTCATATACCATAAAATTCACCATTTAATGTATACAATTTAACTGATTTTAGTTTATTTACAGAGTTTCACAACCATCACCGCAGTCCATTTTAGAACATGTCATCACCTCAAAAACAAAAGCCCTGTGGTTGCCAGGGAATAGTTATAGAGATTCTATTTCTGTTTGGGGGATAATGAACTTCTGGAACTAGGAACTGGTATTAGTTGTGCAACATTATGAATGCATTTAATGTCACTGAACTGTGCACCTTAAAAGTGTTAACAATAGTAAATTTTGTTATTGATTTTTTACCACAATTAATACTTTTTAAAGGAACTGGTACCTCCCCAAACCCTCTTATTCCCCCAATCCCTAAGTAACCACTTCTCTACTTTTCACATGTATATATGTGCCTATTCTGCACATTTCATGTGAATGGAATCTTATGTTACATGACATTTTGTGTTTGGCTTCTTTCACTTAGCTTGCTTATAGGGATAATTCTTGCTATAAATTGAATGTCTGTATACTCTCAAATTCATATGCTGAAGGCCTGTTGCCCAAGATGATAGTGTTAGAAGGTGCTCCCTTTGGGAAATGCTTAGGTCAAGAGAGTAGCTTGACACTAATGATTGGAATTAGTGTCTTTATAAAAGAGACCCCAGAGAACTAGTTCATCCTTTGAACCCATCTTTATAAAAGAGACCCCAGAGAACGAGTTCTTTGCTGTGAGTATGCAGCAAGAAGTCAGCAGTCTGGAACCTGGAAGACGGCCCTCACCAGAACCTGACCACGCTGGGACCTTGATCTTGGATTTTCAGCCTCCAGAGCCATGAGAAATAAGTTTCTGTTGTGTAGAAGCTACTCAGTCTGTGATTTTTTTCTTTTTAATATCAGCCTGAATGGACTAAGACAATCCTTGTTGTATTGTCTTGTATCAGTATGATTTTATGATCAAATAACATTTCATTGTATGGGTACTGTATTTCGTTTATCCATTCATCAATTGATGGGCACATGGATTATTTCCACCTCTTGGCTATCATGAATAATGCTATTATCAAGGTAAGTGGACTCGCACTGGCAGTGAGGCACCGCTACCACTGCCACAGCCCAGCCTCCCTCGGCTTCGGTGCTCCCGTCATGGGGATCTGGGGTCCCCAGCACACCCAGCTTCCCCAGCTCTGGAGCGCGTGTTTAGTCCTTCAGAAGCCCTGGTGCCAGCCTGGGCCCTTGCTGGGGAAGGATGACTGAGCTGCAGTTGGCACTGCTATTGTGAAGACACCTGGCAGAACTCAACAAAAACCCAGTGGAAGGATTTTCAGAAGGTTTAATAGATGACAATGATCTCTACCAATGGGAAGTTCTTATTATTGCTCTTCCAGATATACTTTACAAAGGTGGTATTTTTAAAGCTCATCTCACTTTCCCAAAAGATTATTGCCTTTGGCCTCCTAAAATGAAATTCATTATTGAAATCTAGTATCCAAATGGTAATAAACATGGTGATATATGCTTATCTATTCTTCACGAACCTGGGGAAAATAAATATGGTTATGAAAAGCCAGAGGAATGCTGGTTGCCTATTCACACAGTGGAAATCATCATGATTAGTGTCATTTCTATGCTGGCAAACCCCAATGGAGACTCACCTGCTAATGTTGATGCTGCAAAGGAGTGGAGGGAAGACAGAAATGGAGAAATCAAGAGGAAAGTTGCCCGCTGTGTAAGAAAAAGCCAAAAGGCTGCTTTTGAGTGACATTTATTCAACAGCTGTAACTTCACTTATTTTAGGGTCTCCAATTGAGAAACATGGCACTTTTTCCTGCACTCTACCCACCTATTCCTGGACTTCTGTTGTAACAAGCTGGCAAGCACTGGTTGGAACTGGACTATAATAAAACATGCCAGTATCAATGCTGGCAAGAGCCTAACAAATGCCAGCTTCCAGACGATTACGCATTTTGAACTGTTAACCCTTTGGGAAGAATTGTAAAGACCTGTACATAGCACAGCATGATCCGGATAGTATATATACTGTTCACATACACCTACAAATATACCTCATACCAAATAGCACTTTCTTGCAGTAGAATAAGAATCGTGTAAATTCTAAAAAATTTAAGCAGATTTTCTTTCCCTATTATTGTTTCTTTTCAGATTTAAAAGCATGTCAGATAAAAAGCAATTAGGATTAACAGTTTCCATTTAATTTCCTTTAAACCATTGAGGCGTCAATAAACTCTTTCCACTTACTAAACTTTTATATATTCTTTGTTTTCACACACTCCCCTTTACTTTTATCTCTTCTGTCTGCCAGGAAGTTTTCAAGTCATTTAGTTCAAATACCAAAGTACTCAATAAGCAACTACTTGATTTTTAATGATGACATCAGAGGAGTGGTCACTAGATGATTTGTCCCTTTGTATTGTACCTGCACCCATCTCTCAGATTGGATACAGCATAACTTTTTTTTTTTTTTTTGTCGTTACGAGCTCTTGAATCCAGTCATTATCCCTAGGAACTAAAAAGAGTAAGTTCTGAATTCAATTCAGATTTAAAATGATTGAAATTTATTCCCAACAACACAAAACTCTGATTTGGTTTTATTTTTGGCCCTCAGTTGCCTAATGTGAAGGATGGATGAATAAAGCATGCATAGCTACAGGCTTTCTACTTAACTTCTGGTTTTGCTATTAAAAATGGTGTTTATCCTCATCCCTTCTCCTTGGTCCTTCATATTTCTTTGCCTCTATTCTTCTAATACTGCAGAGTTTTCTCACCTATTGGACAAAGAAATTGTGATGTATTTTCATGTAATTTGATTTTGGAATTCTGTCACCTTATCAGTGAGTTCTTCCAAAATATAATTTTTGCCTTCAGATTGGGAGAAAATAGCAAACAAAGCAACAGACAAAGGATTAATCTCAAAAATATACAAGCAACTCCTGAAGCTCAATTCCAGAAAAATAAATGACCCAATCAAAAAATGGGCCAAAGAACTAAAGAGACATTTCTCCAAAGAAGACATACAGATGGCTAACAACCACATGAAAAGATGCTCAACATCACTCATTATCAGAGAAATGCAAATCAAAACCACAATGAGGTACCATTATATGCCAGTCAGGACAGCTGCTATCCAAAAGTCTACAAGCAATAAATGCTGGAGAGGGTGTGGAGAAAAGGGAACCCTCTTACACTGTTGGTGGGAATGCAAACTAGTACAGCCACTATGGAGAACAGTGTGGAGATTTCTTAAAAAACTGGAATTAGAACTCCCATCTGACCCAGCAATCCCACTCCTGGGCATACACACTGAGGAAACCAGATCTGAAAGAGACATGTGCACCCCAATGTTCATCGCAGCACTGTTTATAATAGCCAGGACATGGAAGCAACCTAGATGCCCATCAGCAGACGAATGGATAAGGAAGCTGTGGTACATATACACCAAGGAATATTACTCAGCTGTCAAAAAGAATTCATTTGAATCAGTTCTAATGAGATGGATGAAACTGGAGCCCATCATACAGAGTGAAGTAAGCCAGAAAGATAAAGACCGTTACAGTATACTAACACATATATATGGAATTTAGAAAGATGGTAACGATAACCCTATATGCAAAACAGAGAAAGAGACACAGATGTACAGAACAGATTTTTGGACTCTGTGGGAGAAGGCGAGGGTGGGATGTTTTGAGAGGACAGCATCAAAACATGTATATTATCAAGGGTGAAACAGATCACCAGCCCAGGCTGGATGCATGAGACAAGTGCTCAGGCCTGGTGCACTGGGAAGACCCAGAGGAATCGGGTGGAGAGGGAGGTGGGAGGGAGGATGGGAATGGGGAATACATGTAAATCCATGGCTGATTCATGTCAATGTATGACAGAAACCACTACAATATTGTAATTAGCCTACAACTAATAAAAATAAACGGAAAAAATAAATCAGGGCGGAGGGGCCCCCGAGAAGCCACCCAGTCTGGGACACTACTCAAAACTTGGGGGGACCCAGCAGGTTAGTCATTCTAGATACTAAACTTTGTTTTGAGCTTGGTCTGAATCACCAACCTGCAGCCGCTTTGAATAAATGCCCTTATTTAAAAAAATAAAATAAAAAATAATGCTATTATCAACATTCACGTATAATTTTGTACATAAACATTTGTTTTAATTTCTTTTGGCCTATATCTAGGAGTTGAATTGCTAAGTGATATGGTAACTCTTTTCTTTACATCCTTGTCAACATTTGTTACATTCCGACTTTTTTATTTTAGTGGGTGCCGTTTTAGTGGATGTGAAGTATTATGTCACTGTGATTTTGATTTGTATTTCCCTGATGACTAATGATGTTGGGCATATTTTAATATGCTTATGGGCCATTTTTGTATCTTATTTGGAGAAATGTCTCTTTTTCTCCTTGGCCCACTTTTAATTGTATTGTCTTTTTGTTACTGAGTTGTAAGATTCTTTATATATATTAATGTATAGACATGAGCCTGTTATCAGATATATGCTCTGTAAATATTTTCTCCTATTCTGTGGGTTGTCTTTTCAATTTCTTGATAGTGTCCTTTCAAGCATCAATTTTAAAATTTTGATGAAGTCTTTCCCAGGGCTTTTGCCCAACTCAGTTTTCCATAGTCCCTGTACTTCTATGTCACAGGGGACATCTCTCTCCATAGTCTTCTCTCCCCTGGGTGGTAGACTGTTGCTGGCTTATTATACTGTGATAGGGTCATGGCAGGCACAGTGGATCCTCAGTTTGTGGGTTTAGCTGAGTCTCGGGTGGGCCCTATACATCTTGGTCATGTACATAGGGGTTTCTCAGTTTCCTCAACCTCTTTCCTGTGGCAACTATTTTCTATCTTCTATCTGTGGTTGGGGCTTCCTAGGTGACTCAGTGGTAAAGAATCCACCTGCCAATGCAGGAGATGTCAAAGTGCAGCTTCAATCCCTGGGCTGGGAAGATGCCCTGGAAGAGGGCATGACAACCCCCTCCAGTATTCTTGCCTGAAAAGCCCCAGGACAGAGGAGTCTGGTGGGCTACAGTCCATGGGGTCTCAAAGAGTCGGACACAACAGTGACTGAGCACTCACACACATCTGTGATTGGTCTGGAGTGGGAAAGAGTTTCCTGCCCCTCCCACAGTAGTACCCACCTCTGCTTGGTGGGTACTACTTGGGCAGGAGACAGTTTCCTGAGCCCCCCACCCCAAGGGGAGAGAAGGGTTTTCTCTCCTTTCTGTGACAACAGTGGGTCTTGGACTGTGTCCTGGGGCAGTGAGAAAGTTTCCTACTTCTCTCCCAAGAAGTAGATGATTTTGCTTTTACTCCTCCCTCAGAGGCAAGGTAATTTTGCCTAGGTCCTTGGAACAAAGTTTTTTTCTGTCTCTCACCAAAAGCTTAAGATTTTGCTTTGTAGAAAGGGTGAGAACAAGAGATTGGGCTTTAAAAAAAAATAATTTATTTTTTAGTGCACTGGGTCTTCACTGCTGTTCGCAGGCTTTCTTTAAGTGCAACGAGGTGGGGCTACTCTCTAGTATGGTCCACAGGCTTCTCATTGAGATGGTTTCTCTTGTGGAGCAGGGTCTCTCGAGTGGTTGGGCTCACTAGCTGTGGCACACGGGCTTACTTGCCCTCAGGCATGTGGGATCTTCCTGGAACAGGTATTGAACCTGTGTCCTCTGCATTGGCAGGAGAATTCTTAACCGTTAGAGCACCAGGGAAGTCCAAGATTGGGGCGTTTTGACTGTGCAAAATGGTGGAGGGCAGGTCTCTCTGGTGCCACATACAGTCTTCCTGGGAGGGAGTAATGGTGGAGGCCTGTGGCAAAGAGCTTGAGGTTAGTCTGACTCCCCCCATAGCTGAGGTTCTCAATTCCTTCCACCTGACATGCTGAGCCCACTAGACCTTTAAGACTTCACTGAGTACAATCTGATTTCCTCTCTTCTACTACTACAATGGCATCTTTCTTCTAGGCACTGATGAGGTGATCTCATTCCTGTGTCCTCTCTGGGAGAGTTTGCACATGAAGTCCCAGCAGATGACCTCAAGTGTCACGTGTAGAGCAGAAGTGAGTGGTGTTCCACGGTGGCTTACTCCTGATTTCAGGGCTAAATGTCAGGGCCTGAGTCAGGTACTCCTCCTCTATGACCTTGAACCAACTCCTTCAGTCTCCCTGATGTGCAGGGCGGCCCATAGAAGGGTGAGGATGGGGGCTCCAGATCAGATTGCCCGATGTGACAGCGTGACCCTTGGCAAGTTACTCAACGTCTATATGCCTCGGTTATCTCGTCTGTCCAATGTGGATAATGATAAACCTACCTCACAGGAATGATGTGAAGACTAATGAACCCATATAAAACTTGCATCATGATGCCTGGAACAGGATATTAGCTATTAGCATCACCTGTAGAGCAAAGCAGTAATAGCAGTAGCCATGGAGATACTGTACCAAGAGTAGCATTTCTATTACTCTTGATAGTCTCTAAGTTTTCTTCCAATACTATTTGAACAATATGGATCTATTTGGGACAATATGAAATATTTACACATTTATTTTAGTAAGATAATCTAGTTGGCCAGGTTATAAAATACTTACCCGAGAAGGGAAGGGCAGGCCTGTTTGCCATGTGACCTTTGCTCAGTCTGTGGTCAACTCTGGACTATCATGTCCTCTGCAGAGGGCAGGTTGAACCAACAGGCTGGGGCTGTTCACATCTGTGTCAGGAAGCCAGGTGGGAGGGGATCAAGAGGCAGCTGTAGAGCTGTCAGCCCACAGGGATAGTCATGCCCCTTCCTCTAAATTACAAATCACAGAAGACTGTAGTCAGAGCTCTCATGTTCCCAGAGCACTTTTATTGGCAAAGTTCACTCATATTCATGATCTCATTTAGTTATGACAGGGGCCACTTGGGGTGTGTGTGTGTTGAGGATTGATGGTCCCCAGCTGACAACAGCATGAGATCCGGAGGGCAGGGGATAGGTTAGGGTTAGGGGTTAGGGTCACCCAGTGTGACTTGGTAGATCTGGGCTGGATCCCACGATGCAGGTTCCCAGTGCCATGCTCTTCCTCAGCCGAGGCAGTGGGTGCTGGCTCCCCTAGGTTTCTTCAGGTAGGAAGTGTGGGTGGGATGTGTGAAAACCGAGGCCTGGGGAGGGGAAGCCTGAATGGATAGTGGTTGGAGCCCTCTTTTCCTGGATCAAATGTGAGCACCTCTGGGGCCAGGAGAACGTGTCCTCCATTACTGCCTCTTGCCCTCTTTGGTCACAGGGTCAGGAGAGTTTTATTGAATGAAGAGATGAAAAAAAAATTATCTTTGATTTTGTTCAGACTTGTTTCATCCTGCAGCATCGGAGTCAGCGAAGACCCTAGACTTGCTCTTGTGTCAGCCCTAGCGCAGTGCCAGGAACATAGGAAACCACTGATATGTATTTATTAAAGAGATGACACCATCAAACCCAATCCTTGCACAGATTAAAAAAAGAGAGACCTGGGGGTAGGGTAATGAGGAATTTTTATCTGATGGTTATAGAGCTTCCATTTTGCTATATGAAAAGTGTTCTGTAGTTGGATGGTGGTGATGGTTGAAACAGCATGAATGTACTTAATGCCACTGAATTGTACACTTTAAAATGGTTTAGATGATAAAAATTTTATGTTGCTTATATCTTACCATAATTTAAAATACTGAAAAGAAACCTGACAAAATAAATACATCCTTCCACTTGAAGAAACAGAACAGGCTAACCCTGCATTATTTCTATTCATTTCACAAATGGAAAGGAAATGCAATCTGGCTGTGCCCTACTGCAGACCCTGCATACTCACACACACACCAGCCCCATCCTATTAGCCCACCCGTCCTGAGGCTCCAGTCGGCCCTAGCCCTGGCCTGGAGCTCCTGGGGAATCTGTTTCTTCTTTCTGAAGCTAGGGAGGCAATAGAGGTGAGGCAGGTGGGACAGAAAGGGGGGGTGGAACTCTAACTCTCCCTCCACCAGACAGTGTGTCCTTTGTGAAAAGTCATCTGGTTTTACAAAGCAAGGTAGTATGTCAAGTCAGCAAGAACACATGGCCAAGCCAGTTACACAGCCCTGTTATGGTCCATAATATGAGCAAAAATAGCCACCAGCCACCAAAGCAGACTGTGTGTAGGACTGCCTAGGGCTGTGTGGTTACCCTGTCATTCTCATAAGCCTGAGGTTTGTCCTCGGGCACACAGGTGAGCAGCCAGTTCTTTCATTGAGAGTGTCACACACATAGGTGGGTCTGCAGCTTAAATCCTGTGCTCTGAATGGCATATTCCCTGTGTTCCATTGCTGATTTCACAGACAGTGATTTTGAGCATCAGCTGACTCCCTGAAGTTACTCAACCACAGGATGGCACAGGTGCCATTGGGATGAAGAATCCCATATTCCAGAATGGAGCCCTTTCTACCACATGAGGCCCCCTCTTGGGAAGGGAAGGTTTAGTATTGTCCCCTGGACACCCATGTGCTCCCAGTTGCACCACCTTGAAGTCAGCATGGGAAGGATGTTGGCGGAGCAACTCTTGCCTCGCTGACCCCACTTAGAAGGATGTCTCTTTTTCTGCTTTCTGACTGTGACAGCTTCATCCTCCAATGGGAGTTGATGGCTTAAGGGGACACCCTCAGGAACAGGGACTCAGCAGGCTGAGAAATCTTCCTACCCAGGACTGTGGGGTGCTTCAGAGAGGGCCTTGGGCCTACAGTAAAGATGGGGAGATTTGGGGGGCTACAGCGAGGAAGGTAGGACACAGCAGACCAAGGGGAGCCTCTGGAGACACATGTCCCCTTGTGGGCTTTTCCTGCTCTTTGTTCAGGGGGGTGGTGTGGAGGTAGTTGGGGTCAGTGGTTTCTAAGCCTAGCTCCCTGTTTTAATTCAAATTCCCCAGAAACAGACCCTGACATAGGATAGGAGCCAAGTGATCCTGGTTTGTTGAGGAAATGCCCATGGGAGAAACTGGAGAAGAAGTTGAGGCAGCAGAATGAGGAAGGGGAAGCAGCTAAGCAGAGTGTGACCCACACCAGGAGCAGCCTCAGCCCATCCTGCAGGGCAGCAAATATGATGCCTCGAGTGTGTTACTGCTTAGAGCAAGGAGCTGGGCTTCCCCAGTCAGTCTGGGCCGAGGGGCCCCTGGGTGCAGCAGGAGGGTGTGATGTAAACTTACACTGTGAGTAGTGTTCCTCTAATCTACTCCTGGGACTGTGTCCTCGTGGAGCCAGGAAGCCCAGGAAAGGTGCAGGGAAAGGTGTTATATAGAAAGAATGACACATGCTGAGAATGGGGTTCAGAGTCACGGTGAAGGGAATCTGGTGGAGCATCAGTAGAGTTCCCTCACTGCCCTCAGGATTTGTCCTCATGTTTCAGGACCCTAGGTCTTCCCCAACAGCCCTGGATGGACAGGAGCATGCTGAGGATACTGATCATCTGGGAGCCTGAAGCTGCAGTGAGATGGGGCTTTGGAGTGAGATTGGAGGGTACAGTGTCAGGGAAGCCCCAGGGAGCAGGATGTCACAGTCTGGAAGGACTGAGGGGCTTGACTTTCCTGCTTGGCAGATGCAAGACATCACATTCCCAGCCAGGCACATTCAGACACATGAGCCAGGAACAGACAGGCATGTGTACACCATATACACTTATATACGAACACATATACACATATTGATATTCCTGCAGACACATACCTATAGATTTTCACACTTGCTTGCACATGCATATTTCTGAACTCATGCCTAAAGCATGGCCAGACAGGTCCTTTTTATTCCTGGCTCTCAGGGGAGGGGGAGGTAGGGAGTTGGGCAGGGTCCAGGGCAGGCTGGTTGCAGCTGACCACTGAAGGGTGACCTTTGGCTGGAATTGCTCAGGTCATGCAGTCCCAGAGTCTGGTGTTGCTTGTGAAGCAATGATAAAAGCATCTGGAAGCTCAGTTCCTGGCTCCTGCCCCATCTAGCCCATCCATGTCCCCACAGTTCCACTCCTACCTTTGATCCAGGCCTTAGTCCATCCAGGACCAGGGTTCCACCTGCCTGCAGTGCACAGATGAGGACCTGCAGTCATGAAAGAAATGAAATGGGGACGGTGACTTGTAGTCCCTGACATTTAGCCCACATCCTCCCCCAGGGGCAGGAGCCAGCAGGAACATGGCCAGTGAGAATCAAGGGTCGTCAGTTCAGAATCAAATTGCTCCTGGCTCTGAGGGGCTCTCAGGCTGATGGAGGTCACATGTATTTAAAAAGCTTGGTGAATGCTCAGTAGACAGAAGTTGGAAACTGTGGAAGCCCAGAGGAGACACATGACAGCCTGGAAGGGGTGGGATCCAGGAAGGCTTTCTGGAAGAGGTGGTATCAAAAGGACTCCTGAAATACCAAGGAGAATTGCATTTGGGTAAAAGGGCTTTCAGGAAGGGGGAACAGTTTGAGCAAAATGCTGGTAGTAGGGGAAGCATGACGCCCTGTGGAACTGGAAGAAGCTCAGCAAGGCTGGAAGAGGGTAGGGGGGCAGTTGGCAAGAAAGGCAGAGCCCACACTGCAAATGGCAGTAAGCAAGCCAAGGGGATAGAGACTTCCTGAGGACACAGAGAATCCACTGGATAGTTTTCATCAGAGAACTGGTGGTGTCAGACCTGCACTGGGAGGACCTTCTGGCTCCAAGTGCAGGGTGGATCTGGGGATGGCTTGAGACTAATTTGAGTGGAATGTAGGACTGGTGGAGATTTTGCAGGACAAGAGGCCAAGCAAGGACTTTTTGTAGGTACTCATATAACAAGAGAGGAGAGAAATGTTCACAAAATTATAATACATTAAATTTAAAGTAAATAATTGAGTACAGTTTTTTTTTCTTTTTTCTTTTTTACTATAGGTCTACTAATGATAAGGGCAGACATTTCAGAGGATGACATCTGGAGCTAAGTCATCATTACCTATAATCAGGTGATGGAAAATGTTCATCTGTACAAGTTATTCTTAGCTCACAGATTGTTCAGACATGGGCTGTAGTTTGCTGATCCTGGTGTAGACACGGCTTGGCTAGAAGCAATTGAGAAGCAAAGAGGATCTCCCCTCCCCCACCACAAAGGATCTGCAACAGCCTGCCACAACCTTGGGACACTACACTGCCTCCAGAGGGCTCAGTGAAAATCAGCCTTATTTGACAGACTCTAGGTTCATCCACACTGCTACAACAGCTACAAATGAACCATTTTTATTCCTTTTCTTGGTTGAGTAATATTCCATTGTATACATATATTTGGGCTTCCCTTGCTGGCTCAGATGGTAAAGAATCCACCTGCAAATGCAAGAGACCTGGGTTTGATCCCTGGGTTGGGAAGATACCCTGGAGAAGGGCATGACAACCCACTTTGTAGCCCACCAAGCTCCTCCGTCCATGGGATTCTCCAGGCAAGAATACTGGAGTGGGTTGCCATTTCCTTCTACAGGAGATCTTCCTGACCCAGGGATTGAACCTGGGTCTCCTGCATTACAGGCAGACTCTTTATAGTCTGAGCCACCAGGGAAGCCCCATGTATAAGATAGCTAGTGGGAAGCTGTTTTATAACATAGGAAGCCCAGCTAGTGCTCTGTGATTACCTAGAAGGGTGGGATGGGCGGTGGGAGAGAGGCTCAAAAGGGAGGGAATATAGGTATACATATAGCTTATTCCCTTTGTTGTATAGCAGAAATTAACATAAACTTGTAAAACAATTATCTTCCAAATAAAAAAATTAAACCTTGTTATGAGGAGGGACCAAGATGCGTTAGCAATAGGAAGACCCCAGGAAAGTGAAGGTCTGTAATCATAACATCTCATGATTACAGGAGTCTGAGAGGTTCCTGCTCAGTGTTCTCCCAGGGCCGGACTAACATTTGAGAGTTTCTTGGAAATGCAAAATACTCCAGATATGCAAAGTGATTTGCAAGTTGCCAGTGGAGCTAGGATTTGAATGCAAGTCTCAGGCTTCCCAGCTGGGGTCCTTTCCCTATACCACCGTGTATTCATTACCATGGACCTTGCTAACAAGTCAGGACTCCTCTGTCCAGGACAAGATGCTCCTCAGACTCCTGCCTTTCCCAGCAGGTTTCCTAATTTACATATATTTGCATGCATAATTCTCCCTGATGAGAAATCTGAAGCTCCAAGAGAATGAATAACTTGATTGGTATCTGTGGCGGGATTAAAATGGCATCTCCAAAAGATATCTGGTCCTAATCCTTAGACCCATGAATATTACCTTGTATGAGGAGAAAATGGGTCTTTGCATATGTGATTAAATTAAGGATCCCGAGGTAAGAAGATTATCCTAGAGTATCTGGATGGGCTTTAAATGGAATCACATGTATCCTTATAAGGCAGGCAGAGACAGGTTCGACTAGATCCAGAAAGCAGAAGGAGATGAGACAACAGAAATGGAGCAAGAGATTTGAAGTTCCTTCTTTGCTGGCTTTGAACTCGGAGAAGGGGCCTGTGAGCCAAGGAATATCTGTAACTCTAGAAGCTGGAAAAGATAAGAAAACAGTTTCTCCCCTAGAGACTCAGGAGGAAGCCAGGCGCTGCCCACCACTTGTAAACTGGCATAATGCCACTGATTTCATACCTCTGGCCCCCAGAAATGAGAGAGAATAAGTATCTGTTGTTTCAAGTGGCCAAGCTTGTGGTCATTTTTTACAAGCAGCCTCAGAAAACTAATACAGCATCTGATAGAATTTTCCTTAATTTAAATCAAACTTTAATTTTAGAATAGTGATAGATTTAAAGAAAAGTTGCAATGACAGTATAGAGTTTCTCTATGCCCCTTACCCAGTTACCTCGAATGTTAACATCTCACTTTACCCTCGCACATTTGTCACAGCCAGGAGACAAGATTGGCACATTACCACTAATTAAACCCTGCAATTTATTCAAAGTTCACTACGTTTTCCTAGACCTTTATCTAGTCTTGGATTCTATCCAAGACACCTTACATTCAGTCATCTTGTGCTCTTTCTGTCCTCTGCTCTGTGACAGTTACTTAGTCCTTGGTTTTTGATGACCTTTAGTTTTGAGGAGTGCAGGTCAAGTATTTTGGAGAAGGTCACTTAACTAGAACTCCTCTGATGTTCTTCTCTTGGTAAGACTGGGGTTACCGGGTTTGGGAACGCAGAGGATGGAAGTGAAGTGCCATTCTCATTACATTGTATCAATGCTATGTACTATCAACATGACATCACTGATGACGTGGACCTTGATTACCTGTTGATCTTGAGGTAATGTTTGCCAGGTTTTTTGTTGTGCAGTTACTTCCTTTTCCTCCCTTGCCTTCAACTCTTTTTTTCCCTCTGCTCTTTCCTTAGTTGACTCATGAAAACAAGCCACTAGGCTTAACCCAGCTCAAGTGTGGAGGGTTGTACACCACCTCCTTGAGAGCACAGTGTCTATATGAGTTACTCGGGATTCTTCTATAAAGGAAGCTTTCTTCTACCCTGTATATTAATTATTCAGTCATATTTATATTAGTATGCATTGTGGACATTTATTTATATTTTGGGTTATAATGCAAAAGAGTATGTTATTTGTTTTGTTAGTCAAATTGTTCCAGCCGTGGCCCTTGGGAGCTTTTCCAGTTTGGCTCCTGTGTTTCTTTGAGATGCTCCTGTCGTTTTTGTGTTTTGACCACTCCCTTACTTCTGACACTGTGAGACTCATCTTATAGTCTGAGCCTACCCTGAGTGTGTGCTCAGCTGTTTCAGTCACGTCCGACTCTTTGTGACCCTATGAACTGTGGCCTGCCAGGTTCCTCTGTCTATGGGATCCTCCAGGCAAGAATACTGGAGTGGGTTGCTGTGCCCTCCAGGGGATTTTCCCAACCCAGGGATCAAACTGGGTCTCCTGCATTGCAGGTGAACTCTTTACTGCTGAGCCACTTGGGAAGTTCCTTGGCCTTACCCTAGCACCAGTTATTTCTCTAAGTATCTCAGAAATCCATTCATTAGAGAATGTATTAGAAACAACAGTTTGAGTCTCTATGCTACTTGCTACTGGGGAGGCATTGCTTTCAGGCTCTCTCAGAAGACAGAGCTTGGAGATACAGGTCTATATATTAACCCATATTTATAATTTGGCAGTTTCTAGTCAATACACTATTTTCCAAAATTACTTTGGTCAGCCCTTTTTCTTCACTCAGTTCCATGAGATTTTCTCATACATTTGTAATTCAGTTAAGATTCTTTTGTCATGGTCTACATTCCATCCTGGGATCCATCAACTTCTTGGTTAATTTTAAAGCTTGTTTTATTTATTTATTTGGCCATGCTTTGTGGCCAGTAGGATCTCAGTTTCCCGACCAAGGATTAAACTCGTGCCTATGCAGTCAAAGCACAGAGTCTTAACCAGGGAAGTCCTGAGTTTAAAATTTTAATTTCTATATATTAAAATTCACCATCTGTGGGTTTTGACAAATATGTAGTCTCATGTATACATCCTACAATACCACATAGATTTGTTGTACAATCCTAAACAACTCCCTTGCTTCCCCCATCAAAGGTTCTTACTCCTTAAATCCCTGATTTCTGCTAACTTGTTTTCCATTCCTGTAATTATCCTTTTCCAGAAAATCATATGAATGGAATCAAATACAGTGTAGCCATTTTAATGGCTTCTTTCCTTTAACAAAATGTGTTTATGGCTCATTCATGTTGTTGTTGAATAGCTCATTTCTCATTGTTTCTAAGCAGTATTCCATTGTATAGATGGAGCACAGTGTGTTTTTCAGTTCACCCACTGAAGGATATCTTGGTTGCTCCTGGTGACTGGAGATTATGAATAAGGCTGCTATATAGATACTGATGTGTAGATTGTTGTGTGGACATATTTTCAAAACACTTGAGTGCATACTTGGAGCATTATTGTTGGGTTATACAATAAGCCTATATTTAACTTTGTCAGAAACTGCCAAAAAGTCTTCCAAAATGATGTGTCATTTTGTATTGAGTTACTTTAAATTTCACAAATTAAACCTGACTTTCCCTCTTCTACTCATTGTTCCCAGGCTTGTAATCAGGAGGTCACACTCACAAGGCAAATGGTTCTGGCTTTGCAGTCAGACTTGAGTTCAAGTCCTGGCTCTGCAAGTGTAAAAACCACATGAAATCTGAGTGACTTTGGACAAGTTAGTTAGCTTCTCTGAGCCTCATATTGGGAATTCATCCTTCATATATGTGTGATGTCTCAGGGTGGGTTTTCCAAGAGGTGGATTCTGTGATAGTGTTTAGTCTGCAGAATGCTTATTAAGGGGAGCCTAGGCATCAACAACTGTGAGAGAAAGAAAAGGCAGTGGAATTGGGCAGAGGGAGAAGTTGAACTAAAATGGCCCATCGGAGTGCTCCTGATTTGGGCTAAAGTTTTTGTGGAAGGAAGACAGTGGAATTGTGCAAGGGGCAAATGCAAACCAAAATGACCCATCAGAGTGGTCCTGAATTGGGCTAAAGTGGCTGAGGCTGACATCCCACCTGGATCTATCTTAGGATCAGTTTCCCCTGTGCAGGCAGCTCTGCAGTTGGGACCACCCCTCCATCCTTGAAGGTGCATCTGGGAGGGGTTTTCCAGGGTCCTCCTTCAAGGCAGGTTGGAAGAGCCCTGGATGAGAGCTGAGACCAGTCCTGTACTGGCCACTTTCCAGCTGTGTGACCTCAGACAGTTCCTTCCCAGATCTCCTAATCCTACTGGGTATCAGGGCCTGAGACGACAGCCCTTAGTGACCCCTAGTGTACAGCGCTCAGCAGTCCACTGGGGATTCTGTGCCCCTCACCTCACAACCCTCTTACAGGCCAACAACCAGGCAGCAGCCTATATCCTGGGGCAGTGCTACTCCTGTGTGGTCTGAGGACCTGCCTGTGTCCACGAGCTGCCTGTTACTGGTTCCTGACAAGGTAAGAGAGTTGGAAAAGAACTGCTCAGAAACCTTAGAGCAACGTGACAGAGTGGTTCTATGTGTAATAATAAAAAAATTGAGGACTTTCCTGGTGGTCCAATGGTTGAGAGTCTGCCTGCCAGTTCAGGGGGTGTGGGTTCTATTCCTGGACTGGGAAGATTCCACGTGCTGCAGGGCAACTAAGCCTGTGTGCTACAACTACTGAGCCCTCAGGCCTAGAGCCTTTGCTCCATCACAAGAGAAACCAGTGCAATGAGAAGCTCGAAAACCCGCAAAC